CTCGCAGTTGACGAACTTCAGCACGGTGGCCCATCTGGCGCTGTTGATCCCCTTCGGTTCTCCGACTGGGGGCACTCGTCCACGGAGCTTGCTTCGGCCGAGGTAGTGCTGGACTGGCCAGTGTTCAACATCGCGCCCCTGTGGCCTTTGACTGTGCACTCGCCCGCGGTGTGCCGGCCCTGCCGCAGGTCCTGCTCGACGCGTCGAAGGCGGCCCGCCCGTGAATCCGCGGACGTTCGGGCTGCGCAAGTGATGGTCGCCCCTCGGAAAGAACGAACGCGGGTCTCGGCGTTCTCCAGCCAGCCAGTCGCGCGCGCGTGGGCGGCTCTCCTGCGCGGCTCCGTAGCGAGGCGCCTCGGGGGGAAGCCGAGGTCGTTGCAGACCTCCACGTGAGTCTCCTGGCTGGCATGGGTGGCGCGCGGGATGAGCTTTGCCGACTTGCGGACCCCTTTGGCGTTAGTGAGGGCGTAGCCCGAGCCAATGAAGTCCTCTGGGCACAGGGTGGACTTGAGATGGCGTTCGGCGCTCACCTGCGGATCGCCCGAGAAGCCGAGGTCGAAGGGGCGGGGCGCCCCCCGCGCCCGCGCCGAGGCTGCCGCGAACAGACGCCTGATTTTTCTTAGGTGGCGGTCGTCGGTCGGGGGGGTGGGGGGGGCGGCGGCCGCCCCTGCGGCCCCGGCATGGCGGGTCGCCCCGCCCGAGCTCGGCCGCGAGGTCGTCCATCGGTTCGCGCGCCGCAGCGGGGCCAGCTGCCGTGGCGCAGTCCTGGAAAGGGAGGCCCCGGTCGTCGCCCTGCAAAGAGAACGCCGTGAATGCGGGGCACCACTTGCCATCGGCTGGCGGGGCTGGGGCGCCGCGCGACGGGCGCGCTTCCGACGCGGTCTTGCGCGCCGCTCGCGCCTCCAACTATGGCCAGGGGGCCTGGGCTGGCGCCGGCTGCGGGCGCGGGAATTCCGAGGGGGGGGCGATCGCGAGATCCCGATGGAGGAATGCGGAAACGGAAGGAAGCGCGATACTCGGAGGAAGGAGTGGGGAGCAGGGGGTAAAAGGGACCAGGAATAGGTGGAATCTCGGCCAAGATCGACGGGGGGAGGGGCGAGGGAGAGCGAGGGGGGCAGGAGAGGAAGGACAACGAGGAGTGGGGGTGGGGCAGGAGCGCGACCGACACGGCGGAAGCAACGCCCTGGCGACCGCGGCTATCAAAACATAAGGTTTTTGTTGTCGGCGGCCCCCCGCGCGGCCAGGGGGGGGCTGATTTCCTGCGGGCGGCCCCCGCATCTTGTCAGAGCTCGGCCATCTGGCCATTGAGAAATATTGGGTCTGCAGTCTCGCCTGCCCCACTTGCCCCGCTTGCCCCGCTCGCCCAAGCGCTCGCCCCGCCCCCCGCTCGCCCAAGTCCCCGCTCGCCCAAGTGGAACAAGTGGGGAATGTGGGGCACGCTTTGGCATGCGTTCTCAAAATCCGACGGCGCGGGGAATGCGCCGCCAGCGCAGCCCCGCCGCGAATGGCGCATGCTGCGATCTTGTGGCGCGCCGCCGCGATGCGGGGCAGGTCGTTTCGTCGGGCGGGCGGGCCAGCTCCGCGATGGGCAACGCGGCGTCGTGGTGCTCCACGCGCGCGTGCTCGCGCAACTCGCCCACGTCCTCCGATGGCCAGGTGCGCCCTGCGAAGGCCCAATGCGCCGTCGGCAATGCGACGGCCATGTCCCCCGCCGCCGCCTCCGACCGCGGTTGCGCAGGATCTCTTGGGTCCGCAGGCGCAGTCAGGCGACGCCTCGTGCTCGCGGCAGCAGCCGCCGCGAGAAGTTCCTGGGCCCGCCGCGGATCGTTCGACGCAGCGCCCACCTCAACTTCGTGGAAAACCATCTGCATCGCGTCCGCTGCGGGGATGCTTTCGCCCATCCCGAAAAGTCCCGCCCGTGCTTCTGCCCCTGGGCGCGCCTTCCCCGCGTCCTTCGCGCTCGAATCGAATCCTCGCTCTCTGGCCGTGCCGGGCGCGGCCGTTTGCCCCGGCCGATCCGTTGCGGGTCCTTCGCTCTGCGCTTCCACCCCGTCGCGCGCGCGCGGGGGGGGCGGGCGCCGCGTCTGCGCGGGGCGGCCGCGGTCGCGGCATCCTCGCGCCGATCCGACGCTGTTCCCCCGCGCTTGCCCGCGGGAGTTTTTTCGACGTCGCGGGTCCGCCGCCGGTTGTGCTCGCGCTCGCGCTCGAGCTGTTGGCGCTAGCGCGCTCGCGCCTCCCCCGCGGCCGCCGCGCGCGCGTTCTGCTCGAGCGGGCGGTCGCGGCTGCCCGGCGCGGCGCGACCCCCAATGGAACCCCGAGGCCCCGCTGCGAAGCGACGCCGCCTGCCCTGATTTCCTCAATGGGGGCCCCGACCGCGGAGCCGCTCCAACTCGCTGGCCAGCTCGAGCTCCTCCGCCTTCGCCGTCTGCAGCGCGGCCGCGCGGCGTCTAGCTCGTCGGCGCCCTGCCGCCAGAGCGTCTGCGCCGGCGCGCGCGTTGGCCGTTGCCCGCGGCATCTGCGCCTGGGGGTCGACCGTCGCCCGCGGCGGCGTGGCAGGGGGCGCGGCCGCCGGGCCGCCGCCTGCCGTCGCGTCGGCGGCCTTTTGCCGCGCCGCCGCCAGCTGCGTCGGCGGCTTCAACTGCCGCGCCCGCCGCCGCCGCCGCCCGCGGCGACGCGCGCGTCGCGGCCTGCCGGGCCGCCGCCGCGGCCTCGGCCGGGCTCGCGGCCGCGCTCCTGGAAGAGCCTGGCCCGGGGCCCGACGTTGAGCTTGTGTTTTTTTTTTGCGGGGCGCGAGCGTGATCGCGGCGGCCAGCCGCTGCTCGCCGCGGCAGCTGCCGTCGCCGGCCGCGCGCCGCGCCGAGGAGGCGCCACCGGCCGCGACGGGGCGGCGGCGGCCCTCGGCCTGAGCAACAGCCGCGAAATACTTGGCCGCGCCTCGAATCCCCGACCAGGCTCAGCGGCACGCGCGCGTAAACTGTTCGACAGCGGTGGCCCCCATAAGTGTGCTTCTAGCCACTCGCGTGGTGCATTATATACGGTGAGCTCTGCGTGGCGCGCGCGGTGAAATCTACGTGGGCGCGCTTTATGCGACGCGCTACATGTCGTTCGCAACGTGTGGTGGAAGCTGTGTGGAAATATGCGCGCGGCGCAATCCATGCGGTGCGAGCTGGGCTCGCGCGCGCTATCGTGCGCGCGCTCTATGTAGTCGAATGTTGTGGTGGGAGCTACGTGGTGCAATCTGCGCGGCGCAGCGCGCGCGGTGAAACGCACGCAGCGTAAACAACGTAGCGCGTTCTGCGCGTCGCGGCGACCGGGCTGCGACGCGAGCGCCGGCCGGGCGGGGCCGCGCGCGGGCGCGCGCGACGGGCGGCGAGGGGGCGTCGACGGGCGGCGAACGCGAGCGTCAGCTGGCAGGAGAAGCGCGCAGGCCCAGACGACTGGCGGCGACGAAGCGGCGATGGGGGCGGCGCCGGCGAGCGCCAGTCGTCAGGAGCGGTGCGCAGGCCCGATTCCTTAGCCCAGCAAGGTGGGGCGCTCCGTGCGCGCGATGCTGATGGAACGGCGCACGCGCGCCTCCGAAACGAGCTGGCGGCATCAGTGCGGAAGTGTGGATGACCGTGCGGCCCGGCGTGCGCGGCCCGCCTTGCTGTGACCGCGACGCCGTCCTCCAAGGTGTCGCCGAGCGGCTGGTCGAATGGCGGCGGCTCGCCCCGCCCGCGCCCCTCTGGGAGATCCGTTGTCCGCCTTGCAACGTGCCAGGCACGAGAGCCACGCCTGCGAAACGATGCTCGCAAACTCTGCGGCGCGCGCAGCCGCTGAGTGCGCGCAAGCACTGTTGTGTGCGCAAGCGCTGCGGTGCACGCGGGTACTCGCAGGCGTTCTGGTGCACGTGGGCACTGCGGTGAGCGCAAACACGGCGGTGTAGACAGGCGCTGTGGTGCACGCGGGCGCCGTGTTGTGAAAGCGCCGTGGTGTACACGCAAAGAGCAAACATGTAGTTCGGGCGAAATCGGGTCGCCGGCCTTCTTCGTGGAGTTGGCCGCCTTGCAAGTCCACCCCAACTTCTCCTTGATCGACGCGAGAAGGTCAGACCCGCTGGCCGCCGAGTCAACCTTACCCACGTCGAATTTGGAGTGGCCGCTCACGACAAACAACTGCACCTCCACCATGGCGCAACACTACAATGCGGAACGCCCCCAACACTTGAAGCTGAACATCCGACCCGTCACCGTCCACACCCAACTCCATCTGCCTTCTCCTCCTCCTCCTCCCCCTCCTCCGCTTCCTCCTCTTCTGACTCCCACCGAAGTCGACATGCAGTCAAAGAAGCACCGCCGGCGGCTAGAAAACATCGAACACCGCTCCTCAAGGTCGCGGAGGATCTCAGATGGAGGATCGAATATTGAGTAGCGTCGACAAGGCAGAAAAAAGGCAAAATGGGAGCAGAAGGCATTGGAGGAAGAAAAGAAAGAAAGAGGATGATGATGAGGATGAGGAAGACGAGGAGGACGGGGAGGAGGAGGAGGAGGAGGAGGACGAGGACGAAAACGAGGATGAGGAAGGGGAGGCCTCCGAAGAACTCAGACGGCGCAATATCACCCAAGAGGCCACCAAGAGGCGGAATAGGTGCGGACCAACATGGTACCCTTCCCCCTCTGGGACCCAAATACGTGCCGAATCGTATGCTTCTTCGATTCTCGGGGGCCCATGACTGCTAGGCAGCCTCCAAGATGGCCCCAAGACGGCCCCAAAAGTTCACAAAAAGGCCCGCGTCATTGTACACGAATGCAAGTTGTTGCAGCGACCCGGGGCGGACAGAACGGCACGGCAGAACAGCGAGGCAGACGAGCAGGGCAACCCACCCAACGCCAAATCTTCACGTGCTCCGGACGTGTACCCCGCGAAGCGACATGAATCCCTCTTTTCCATGACTTCGTTCTGAACCACCAGGCCACGGTCGTTCATGGAGCGCGCCATCGTGCTTTCAATGAACACGGCCGTCACCTAAGACAGAGTTGAAAACGCTGTTGAAGTTGTGTTTCTGGGTTTCAGCGTTGACGTTTGCCATGTGTTTGCGTGTCTTGCTTTGCCGATCTGGACTCTGGGCTCGGCCCCGTGCACATATGCACGCACACGCACACGCGCACGCGCACCAGAGCTCACACGCGCAGACGCACACACCGAGTGCACAAGTTCAGGTAAAGCCGTCACCACATTGAGCAGCACCGTGAGAGAGAAACATATGAACAGCAGGTACACCCCCCTGTAGCTCCAGCCAAGCGCGCCGAGGTCCAGCCAAACCTGCTCCCAGTCGACGCCCCCGGACATCGACTGGAAGAGCGTGAGCACAGCGGCGAATAGCGAGCCGAACCGTTC